CTGTGGCAGAGCTTTGATGGAGGAGAATTATTGAAGAAAGTTTTCTCTGAGCCGCACAAGGTCGATGCAGAGTCAGAAAAAAACATGAAAATAACTAGCAGGTGGAAAAACAGAGGCAAGGGAAAGAAGTAAATAAAAAATCATAGTAAAAAGAAAAAAGACAGACAGGGCTTATTTAAAGATGTTCAAGAGTCTAGATTGTGGATTCTGACATTATTAACATGTGGGAACAAGTCTCAATGTGTGTTAGACTAAAGCAGGGATGTTATGTTAGCAGTAGTCAGTGCAGAAAAGGTTGCTCATGTTTCACATACGTGTCCACGCCTCAGTCAAACCTCGTTCTGTCTGTCTGCAACATAATGCCTCCTCGAAACTGCATTTCTTCCTTTGCAGAACGCTATCTGTGCTCCAATGCAATTTATTATGTCGTGAATGTGGGCATGTTTGGTCTCCGCAGTGTTTAGATCTGTTCAACCCTCGCAGCAATTCACCCAAAGTACAACGAGGACAATTCATTATGTGGCGTTTGCAGAATGTCTCAAAGTCTGAAATCGAATGAACAGTTTCCATTTAGACCGTGCTGTGTAGTTTATTGCCGCGCCGATCGCAGCATTGTTAACATGTCGGGCATCATTCGAAACCCCAAACTGCTGCCTTCTATAATAATTACCATAGATTTCTTCGTGTTTCGACATGCTTCAGATAATGGCTCTGTAAAGACGGCGGCAGCACCGGCGGACCGTTCAGCGTTTGATGCAAATACGAAAATCAGTAACCGCCGTTTGAGAGCATCTTCCAGTGCTATAATCATATGTAAATTAACTACTGATATAACGGTTTTTCATCAGTGTACGAGTGCACAAGCCTGGCAGGTTGTCAATGCTGGACAGTAACCAGTTATTGATTTCTCAGGAACGCGTTGTTTTCAGTGAAATTGAGGGTTTATCACATGCAGTCTGTTATCAGCGGTCCTCTGGGGGGGGGGAAGCCGGCTCGGTACTGTACCTGACAAGCCTGTAAAGAGAAATGTTTGTGTAGTCCGTCCTGACGCGTAGATTTGTGCCTCCTCCCTCAGCGAGAGCGCACTCGGTGAGAAGACCCCCCTCGGCACTGAATACATGCCACATGATTTATTGTGCCTGTTAAAATGCAAATGAAGAAATGGGCAGAGGAAGAAGAAAAAAAAAAAAAAACACACAAGTGTTGTCTGTACCGGTGCAGTCACCTATAAGTACACAGAGCTGTGGCGTGCTCCTGCTATTTTGATCACAGCCATCAGAGAAAATTAAGGTTTGCATACCCCGGTGCAGGGAAGGAAAAAAAAAGAAAAGAAAAAAGAGGAAGATTTAAATTAAATGTCGAGGCTGGCCGTGGGCTGTGTTTTCACTTGAATATGTATCTGTCATACGAGTGAGGTAAACACAAACTTAACATGCTTGAGAGGCATGAAAATTATAAAAATACGTTTTATCTGTCTTTGCAAAGTGTGCAGCACGGCTGTCTGCAAGTTCACCGAAGGCCAAACGTCTAGAGAAGTTTTAAAGATCCCTTCTGGTGGAAATCAAGTTTTTTTTTACCTTGTTAACGTCTCCATATGGTGTTTGTTTTGTTTTTTTATGCTGGAAAACAAATCATGAGCGAAATAAGCAGTCGACACCGTGGCGGAGTATTTCCGCCTTCAAACCTCTCGAAGACACAGCGTCAGACTTCCAGGGTTTCTTAGTTTTGTCTGTTCTGGTTTAAACGTGTGAATTGTTCCACTATTACAGCTTAGCATTTGATAGCATTAGAGTATATTTCTTGGTCTCTGCAGCAAGTGCAAGAAAACCTTCTAAACGTGTGGATACATAGAGATGAGTTTTTAGAGGTCTCATCAATGTCCGCAGAGAGACTTCTGAAGTCAGACTGAATGTGTGTCGACAAAAACTGTCCCACTTCAAAGGCCAAGAGAATTACAGCCATCATTTGCCCCAGTTTATGTTGTTTATGCAGAGCTCGGGAACTTGTAAAGTCTGGACATCTGACATGTCAGTGGTAAATATATCACATAAACTGGACCAATAAAAAAGTAACTGCAGCATGTTAACAATGGTCGTCAGGTTTTAACTTTACTGCCACGTAGGCTGTTTAAATCAAATATTACAAGAGAAGTGATGTTAAAATTTAATTTCATCCAAGTGAGTCCGGTGTTAACAGACAAATGTAATTCCCTGTGATGTGCGGGTTCGCTGGATGCTCCAAATTACATTGGGACGGTTGAAAATGTCCCTTTTTTAAAACACGATCTAATTGACAGATAGTCAGGAACAGCAGAAACATTAACACATGGACAAATCTTGCCTTGAAATTAGTTTTTTTTCCCTCATTTCACTAGACCTGCAGGTTGCTGCTTTGCTGCGATGAGTAGATCTGCATTCGTCATGAGTTGTCAACAAAATTGCACTTAACGTCGTTGGATCCTGATGTTTGTGATTGGAGATATTGCACATTGTATTGATGCAACAGTGCACTAGCTACAGCTGGAACCTAATCTGTGGGAACAAAAATGCAAGAGACACCACTAGTACAGTGTTAATGTCTCTGTAGCTCACATTTAATTCAGGCTTTTCGCAAAATGCCGCAGGCTGTGGCGAGGCCGTTACACAAAGAGGTTCACGCTGTAGTTCCAGTGGTCCGAGACTGCAGACGGTATTTGTCAGTAGCTGCTCCACGTTCCTCATTCCCACCGCCGGGGATGAGGGTATAAATAATTTACATAAGTTTAAAGATGGTCCTCAGACTGCGCAGTGCTCACACCTCCATGAGCCTCAGATCCTTAACAGACCCGGGTGACCGATAGCCTCTTTCTTTACTGCCTTCATCAGAGCTGCAATGTACAAGAGACTTTAATTATAGATAAAGATCTCCATGTTTCTCCAGCATGGCGTATACCTTCATAAAAACAGCATTTCGTGCGTTGGCACACTGAATACAAACAAGTTTTTGGCAGCAGCTGCAACTTGAGGGACTGTGCGGTGGTGGTGGTGGTGTTGGACCAGTCGTGACGTCACCCACTGAAAATTACAGCGACATCTTAAAAGCGGTCCGGCGCCTGCTTCCACCTTGATGTTGTTCCTTCATGTTCCTCCGTTGGACTACATCAAGGTGGCCGCTTTGAAATGCACACTGGGGCTGCACTCTGCATTTCTTAAATTACTCAATAGGCACCCAGAAGCAGCACGGGGGCAAGTGGAGAAAGGTGTCAGGAGTCCTGCTCGTTTTGATTCCTACGCCGTCGTTTGTTTTCGACCCTTCTCGACTACTTCAAACGTTACCGGGGGTCAATAACATCCCAAGTCTCTACTGTAAGAGCTGAAGCTCGAACAGAACTGTGTGGAAATTCAAGACTCGATTAGATGCTGCCCTATAAAAATTTAATCAGTGCTGGATATGTAGATTACATGATCAGTGCAGACATGCCCACAAGCTTTGGACTTGTCTGACAAATACAGTATCGTTTACTTCTACCGTTAAAGCATTTGTTTGCATCAATTAAGCAGTTTGAGTCCCTATAAACGCCTTGTAGCATTAATATTTCTCCTGTTTGAAGCATTGCGGTAAGTAGCTCATATTTTGCTCCTGTAAAATGACAGTCTGGCCCCTTATCCACCTCCTGTTATCATCATCCTTTCCAACCTAAATGGAGACCAAGTGAATCACTCAGTCGAGCACATTTCCAGTTTCATTGACAGTTGATTCTGTTAAAGTCTATTATTGGTATCAGCGTAACTTTCGTTGCACCTATTTTAACTTTAGGAAGAAAATCACTCAATTAAGCCCTTCATAAATAACTTTCAGGCTCTCGCTGAGGTCACTGAATCACTTTGTTTCTGCCAGTGCGCGCTCAAAGGTTGGACGCAAACAAGGAAAATCTGGCGACCACTTATTAGTCCGCATTCGAAATGTCATCAAATGCCAAAAGGAATGATGACGCCCGAGAAAGCCGCGCTTCGAATGCAAAGCCGCAAAAGCCTGAGCCTCCTTGACCTCCAAATCCTGTTTATTCCATCCCCTCGATGTGCGTTTGTTTGCGCGGGAGTAATCTGTGGGGGAAAATAACCTGCGTTTGCACTTTGCCCTTAAAGTTGAATTATAAATGCGATGAAGGCTCGCCTATATTGAGATAAACAGCTGCTAAGATAACCCCCATCCCTTTTTTTGTTTTTTTAACCTTTTCCAAAGAAAGTTTTGGAGCAGCCGATAAAAAGATTGAATGGGAACTGAGAAAAAAAAGCAGGAAAAGCTGTTAGTTTGGTAACTCTGTTGGTAGCGTGTGATAAGAATGGTAAGTGAAGAGACGGCCTATGAACTGCATTCTCTGTGTTTTCTTCAAAGTAAAAGTCTGCTAAGGGTATTGTTTTCTTGTGGTTTACTCTTTCCTGGTAATAACTTGAGAATCATGCATGTTTTCAAAACTGTCTCTCTCTGTTTTTTTTTTAATATTACATTGTAATGAATGGAGAATGTCGTAGAGTATTTTCATTGTATGCTGCCACGATGAAACCTCAAGCGAACTGAGAACCGTTATGAATTTCTCAAACCATGTAGTGTCGGTATTGGAGAGTTTAAAGTGCTACCATGTAATATAATATCTGATTTGCACACAGCATCACCCGACTATTATTTAAGAAGTTTCTCAGAAGTTCTGTAATTGCGTAAAATCACCTCAAGTGTGTCGGCCATCGAGATTTTGTGGAGTTTAAATCAAGTTTGCAGAGATTGCGGTGGCTCCTCTGGCACGATTTGTCTCCAAATTCCCCCCCTAGAAAGAATGATACACTTGAGGTCTTGACTGAAACCTGAAGCACTTGTATTAAAAGCTCGACTGCACTCCTCATCATCTCTCTCCCTTCTCTCTTTCTAACTTTCTTCCTCTCCCCTCTCCTCCGTGTTAAACCCTCTTCTTCCTCTTCTGCCTGTTTTGCTTGCGTATCCCCTCTCCCTTGTCCTTGTCCCTGCAGACGCCGTGGAGGGCGGCTCGGGCCTGGGCACCGGAGCCATCGTGGGCATCCTCATCGTCGTCTTCTTCCTGCTGCTGGTGGGCGTGGACGTCACCTGCTACTTCCTCAACAAGTGCGGCCTGCTCATGTGCATTGCCGTCAACTTCTGCGGGAAGGCCGGTCCCGGCGCCAAGAGCAAGGACATCGAGGAGGGCAAGGCGGCATTCACGTGAGCAAAACATCGTCTTCTGCATGTGACACTTAGATGCAATACTTGTGATGTATTGTTTGAGGCTAAATTGGCTCATAGGTACCGTATGTTGACAAAAAAAAAGATCTGCCCAAACAACATGAAGTCAGTACGTAGAGGATCACATCTAGATCCTGAGCTGTGATCATCATGTTCCACCTCTCATTCTCAGAGGTTGAGTAGAGATGAAATATCCTCTTGAAGTAAACGTGAAATGTCTTCAAGAACTTAAAAGACAAATTCAGTTGCCGCCTGCTGAAGTTCCTGGCATCAGTAAGTAGTCTTTAAACCTGGAGCATAGACCAGATCTGTTGTTCTGGCTGCGAAAGATGCTATAGGATTGTAAAAATGTGAAAACTCGTTGTAAAAAGGCCAAAATCAACCAATAAATAAATAAATGAAGTTTGACTGAAGAGGGCCTCATGAGAACATTGGCTCAGTTTCACCTTAACCAGGATGCAGCTTTATGTGCTTTACCAAGCGGACCGTGAAGACCAGGTTGAAGCTAAACTTGGTTGGTTATTTCTCTTTTTAACGTTAAAATAGAAAAAAATCCCTGAGAATCTTAAGTCCTGTCCTCTCTTGTCATAACTCTGAACCACACTCCACTGACTCTGGAGCATCAGAGACTATCTTGTGATCGACACCGGCGTTCGGAGACGGCACGTCGCCTCCTTAAAGTTACAAAATCGGCGTCCGAATAACCTCTGCGAGCGGTAATGTTTCCCACAGATTGCATCAGATAAAACCGGCACGTGTAGCTGATGATGTAGCGTTGCATCAGCCGTTGCTCTCGGCTATATAAGCTGCGCTTCAGGAGCTGCAGTCAGTCCCTGCTTGTGTCAGGACGGCGCCCGGTGAACTTCTCATTTTGTTTTCCTTTTGAAACTCTGAAGCCGTCAATGTTGTGTTCAACCAAAACTGTTGTGTAAAGGTTGCAAACGCCCAGTTTGGACCATTTAAAACAAAACATTTGGTTACTGCGACTATTACTACTTGTGATCGAATCGTTTATGCAACATTACCGTTAAAAAATGTGTTTTGGCGTTGCTGCCAGCTGCTGCCTACTTATTTACTTTTGGCAGAGCGAAGATAAGATAAGATTTTATTCATCCTGAAGGAAATTCTTGTGCCAGATATTGCTCAGAAAAAAAACAAAATGACATAACATAAGAAATGCAGTAGAAAAGCAATCAAACAGAACTACAATACAATCATGAAACGACATATATAAGCTAAATTTAGGCTAAAATAGCACTGAAGTAATTTCTTGACTGATTTTTTCCACGAGGGAAACTGACAGCAAAATATTCCGACCACACTGGTCTTGTAAATATGTAATGGTTTTGAAATGCAGTTATTTCACGTTTGATCATAAATTCCGTCCAACGTGATGAAGCGTCTTGCGGCCACGCCGGCTTTGAACGCGGATTAATATTTCAGCTTCACGCGCATCACGTTCATTGGGAGCGAACGGTGATTTGTGCGGCGTTGTAGAGCGGAGGTATTTTACACCTCGGATCTAAACATGTCACTCCCTGCGAGCAATCACTTTATAGCTGAGAACAATCAGAGAGCAGTGTGATGATAACAGCCGGGCCCCAAGGGGAAACCTACAATCAGAGCCTGCAGGTGGATGCAGGTGGAGGATGATCAAATGCTGGACTGATTGAACGGGAGTGCGTTTGACAGCTTAAAGGACCATCCATGTGCATTTGCATGTTGTCGCCAATTATTTTTAGCCCCATTTGCTGCTGCTCATCACCAGAATGCTCCTCTATATAGATTTCCCTGCTTTGTTCGTGCGGCGAACACGTGTTTTCAGGGCTAAATTGTGTCACCGTGTATGTAATGGGATGTCTCCGGTGTGCTGATGCTCAACAAATTAATGCAGTTCATGTGTTGGCTTAATGACTGTCTCTCTCTCGCTACAGGAAAGATGAGTCCAAGGAGCCCATTGTGGAGGTGAGAACAGAGGAGGAAAACACCCCCAACCAAGAGGGAGGCGGTCCCACCGAGCCCAACGAGACCACGCCGCTGACAGAACCCGAGTGAGTCCAGATTGTCAGGATCTGCACAGTATCTGCTCGGAGAGCAAAATCAAATCTCTCTCAGCGACAAGAAAAAAAACAAAACTGATTTTACAAATATAATTTAGTCTGACTCCAACTACATTCAAATAATGAAAAGAACTGAGCTGCACACATCATTGAGTCGCGCTGACACAATCTAATTCTGCTGATTTAATTCACCGCTATAAACAACGTGTACATAAAGCAGGTTCAACTGCACGCTCTGTGTTTTTTTGGAATGACACGAGGTATTTAACTCAAACCACATTAGTCTGCCTGCACTGCACAGTAGATTAATACAGCGTTCAGTAACACCAGCTCTGGTCCGTGTGCATGACCGCTGAACCCCACTGAGCGCCAATGAGCTGCATTTTGACTCATCTCTTAATTTTAAACTTTGCAAATGTCATAATTTTGTCTGACTTCCTGTTTTGTTTTGGGGTTTTTTGCCAATTTGCTGTTCCACGATTTTCCTGATGACATTCCTGACTCAGGACATCCAGAAGCGCAACGCTGTTCATTAGTTTAAAAATGCTGAATTCAAGGAACACATTTTGTATTTACCGCTAGATCGTCAACCCTACAGTTTGTATAGAAAACAAATATATATTTTTCTGTTAACGTTGGACGGAGGTACATCTGGTCTGAAGTGAAGTCGGCACACGTTAGATCTGAGAACAAACCCTCGCTACCTTTTTTAGTTCTCTAATCCTGAAACTCCTTCGTTCTTTGTTTATAGTTTGTATTTTATGTTTCCCCTCCACAGATGTTTTGTTGCTAACATTTTGATTGTGTAGACTTTTGCTTTTCCACTGCAGCACAGTAGCACTGACTCTGCTTTGTTTATACCCTGACCTGCACTCTCCTTCTGCCCCTTTGTGTCTCTTGCTGTCCTTTCTTATTTTATTTTCTTGCTTTTTTCCCCCTCCTCACTTATCTGGCTCTATGCTACCTCCCCCCACCTCTCCCTCTCCTCCCTCTTTTTTGCCCTCCACTCCTTCCCCACCAAACAGGCCTGCGGCTGCAGACACCACCTCCATGGTGGTGAACTTGCTTCCCTCCACTGCCGTTAACTCGGTCACTGAGAGCTTTAGCACGGCGCAGAGCAGTCCTGCTAGCGAGAGCACCACACTAACCACCAGCGCCTCCAGCCCAACCAAAGCCACCCCTGCCAAGTCCTCCCCCAAAAACAGCCCTGCGGCCCCTTCCAGTGCTCCTAACACTAACACCCAGCCTGAAGTCGGGCCCCTGGTTGACCTGAGCGACACCCCTAAAGTTGCCCCCTCGTCCAACCCGACACCCCCTGTGTCAGAGCCGCCCTCTGCTAATGCCGACGGGCCACAGAGCCAGTGTGACTCAGTCAAATCCCCCGACAGCAGCCAGAGTAAGGACTTACAAGTAGACGGCCCGGCCAAGGATGCCCCCAATGCCCCGTGCACAGACTCCACCACACCAGCCCAAAATGAGTATGAACACTTGCATTTCCGTACACTTTGACTCATCGGTTCTGTTCTGTTGGCGTCCTATTAGCTCATAAGTCTGCCGTTTTCAGAGGAAACGTTCGCCCTTAAACGCAGCCGTTTGGCAAACATCGAGGCAATTTAATGGTTCGATCCCAACTGCTATCGCTTAACTGAGTCAAACTTTTCGAAAATGCGGCATCCTTTTTGGTTGATTTTATTACACAGCTCAGTCAGGAGGAAAGTTAAAGTTTGATTAATGTAATTTAGAGGCCAGAATGTGCAGCCAAAAACAGCCGAACTGACTTGTTTCGCACGAAAACGGCCTCGGCTCTGTATCTGAGAGGGAGTAGGGTTTCCATCTTCGTTTTACATTTTGAAAGAGCTCAAGTGTAAAATTTATCTGTCTCTTGGACCTCCATCAGCGCCTCTAAGCACTGCTGCCTTTGCAGAATAGTTTAATGGGCCCGCTTGTGCCCTGGAAATATGGTCGGCTGTTGGTTTGGTACCAGCGTTCGATAAATTTATACAGTAAAAGAAAAGATTCGGAGACAGAGATACCGCTGTGTCCTAAATGAAGCTCACGTTGCAGCTGGAAGGCAGAGCGTCATATAAGAAGAAACAAACAAACATTTCAGGTTGATTTTGAACATTTAAGGGTGAACTTTTCCTTTATTTTTGCCAGATGTTGCTCATTGAAACAAACGGCGCAGAGACACGAGCTACTGGGACGCTACCAGCGCATGCTTTTCATCACCAACCACCACCTCCACCTCCCGCCTGTTTGTTCACTCACCCACTAGAGACTCCATGCAAACATTGTTTTATTCTATATATCACCCATGAAGTCATGTTTGTTGTTAAACTGCATCACCATCGCTGTCGCCCAACGGTTCCAGATCATCCAGAAGTACTTATCACACAGAGATACGGAGGGTAAACCCAGACACAAGCGGTAAATAAATCTCCAAGTTAGTCAAACTGACTAGAAAACGAAGGCGGACGACAGCTTTCACCGGAGCCGCCCGCCGTAAACATCCCTCATGCTTTATGCACCTATTTTCTACCTGCGCTGGAAACACTGTGGTGTTCTCGCACAATCTTGCCGGGAGACGATTACTGACATTACAGGTGCATTCGATTTGGTTTTAAAGCCGCTAAACGTCCAATCTGAAATTCTGATGAGAAACTGAGTGCACAGGAATTTCTAGCACCTAACCTTCTGTTTGCTTTCCGGGACAGACGGTCCTGAGTGCACCCAATTTCGCTCAGATGATAATGGCAGCAAAGAACCACCGTGTTTTAATTTGTACGCAGGATGAGTGGGGTTTTTTTGTCACTTGTACGGCCTCTAGATCTTTGCTGTCTGAAGAATATGATGTCTGTTGTTGTTGCAGGTGATCTGAGCACGTCGCTGAATCGCTAAATACGACGCGTCTGTTTGTTTTGCTGTTGTTGAGGCCGCCACTGTCTTTATGTTGGTTTTCGGTGCTTAAAAGAAACAAAACAATGCAGACAGCTTTCCACGAAATCAAGCTTAGGAGTGCTAGACTCTGAAAATCCAGGATTTAACGTCTTACTACCACTAGGGTTTGTGCAAACACACAGGAGTTGCATCACAGTTATTGATGTGGTGCATTTAAAGATGCTTTCCAGCTGAAAATCCATTAAAAAGATAAGATTGGCGTCGCAGATTTATCCAACAAGTTTAAATATGAAGGTTAATGATGTGAATTTACCTGAATAGTACAGATACTACGGATTAAAACCCTACAAAAATGAACTAAAATACAACTTTACCTGACTATGATTGATTTTTTTATTAAAAATTCCAGAGATTAACTCGACTAATTTAGAACCTGTTACAATCCCTCCAAAAACATATCCAAGAATTAATTAGTGTGGAAATTAATTAACCTCTGAGGTCATCTGAGTCTTGTTTTTTTTGGCCCCTTTAGACTGTGAGGATTTTAATCGTAGTTAATAGAAATAAGCGTCAAAACTTTTTTTTTAAATAACCCTTTAAATCATATGCATGTCTGTTTAATGTAAGCAGTGCAGATAATTATTATATTTGCCACCAAATGGCTGCAAAAGGGGCAACAACCAGTATGTATTTTGTGTAAAACTCAAGCTTCAGATCCGGCTGCACAGTACAGATGATTTTGTTCAGAGCTCTGCAGGGAGCAGAACTCGGCTTCAGCTGCGTCGGGGTCGGTGAACTCGTTCAGGTAAATTAAGCAACTGTCACGAATTGATGTCCGGCAGCTCCGCTTTACTCTCGTCTCCCCTTTTCATTCTGATGACGGATAATAGATATGGACGGAGGGGGTGAATCTCACACTCGCTCCCAGACGCTCTCCGTCTTAATTCGAGCGGCGGCTGTTATTTGGCGTGGAGGGTTATTATTTTGGAGTTTTTTTCGGCCCCTCCGAGTTTGGAGATGTTCCTGATTCCTGACAGCCTGCGAGGATGATGAGAAAGCGATGGCAGAAGATGAATTACCGAGGCTTACTGACAGTCACTCCTCTCTCTCCCTCTCTCTGCTCACTCGGACGGCCAGAGGAAGATGTCAGTGATGAAGTATGGGGAGTTGAGAGCTCTTGTCAGCTCAACATCACCTTGATAAAACCAAACTTGTCATTGGAGGGATTTTTCTTCATAACTCTGACAGGACTGAAGCGCGGCTCTCCCGCTGATCTATGTGGTGATCCTTCTTCAGCATCCCAACACTGAAATGTCTTGTCAGGCTTCTTGTGGGTTTATTGGATTTCTGAGTGGCGTAGTCCTCCTCAGGATTCATTTTCGCCTTTGAGAAGGAAAAAAAAAAAACAAACCTGCAGATCCTCTCCACGGACCAAACGGTAGATCCATACATATCTCATAAACAGATAAATGTGATAAAACGGCAGCAATCAATGATTAAAACAAATTAAAATCAGCCAGCGCATTGCTCTTGATTATGTAAGAAACTTTTTTGTTCATGCAAAGTGCTTAAAATGCATTAGTTCGAAGCGTAATTAACTTTTATGAAAGCGATGTAGTGCTCATTGACTAAAGAGCAACATTAATCCGTATGAAAGAGTTTAAAGGTTTATGTGGTTATAAAAGAGGCAGTTAAAGACGGCATCCCTCCGTAGGACTTGAGTAAACTTGTGATGTTGTTGTCTTTGTAAGCCTGAGCTCATTGTTTAACAGATTTAATCTGAATGTACCTCCAGGGCAGCAAACAAAAAAAACTTTTAAATGTATTTTTAATATGTTCATGAGATGCAGTTGAAGACTAAATTATTCATTTTAGCAAATTCATATCAACAGTAAACACTAGTTTAGCTGAAACATTATCAAAGTGTGAAACAAACAAGCAGCAGCGTTGATGTTAACTACATTTTATTTTGCATATTAACCCTCTGAACCCCGAGCAGGTTTTTGTTTGTCACATTTTTCTTTACTGTGGGTTCATTTTTCACAAGAATATAACCTCCAGCACCTCTGTGGAAACAGAACCACCGTGGCTACAAGCAGAAGGAAATCAGAAATGTCTTTTGCATCGTAGGACACAGTTTTGATAAGCTTGAATTCCATAAATCATAAAAAAAACAACAAAATAAAGGTTGAATTAAGAGCCCACAGGTGCTACCAACACTGGGGGGAAAATAATGGTGGTTCTACATCCTGTAGATGTTTTACTGCTTGCTTTTTTAATTTGTTACGATACTAGTCTCACATCTGTACAAACACATCCTGCAGTCCAGCTGAACGTCCCTGAACGTTTGTCAGCTGAGTCACTAATAGCTGCACATAGGATGTATTTTTACAGAATGCAATTAGAGCAAACTAATTGTTTGTTGGCAAATGTTCAAATGAGAATTAAGTTATTTTAATTAACTAAGATGATTTTAAGCTTGGATTTGGTCTTTTTTCCCAACTATCTGAAAACTGAGAATCTATCTATCTATCTATCCATCCATCCATCCATCCATCCATCCATCTATCCATCTATCTATCTATCTATCCATCCATCCATCTATCCATCTATCTATCTATCTATCTATCTATCCATCTATCTATCTATCTATCTATCTATCTATCTATCTATCTATCTATCTATCTATCTATCTATCTATCTCAACCTTTCAAACCGACCAGTGGGCTCAGAGGGTTAAATTATGTCGACATTAATCTATACATGCAATAACTGCTCTAATAAAACCTCTTAAATGTAAAGTGATGAATGCCCTGTGAGAGCTTTGCAGCATTAAGAAAAGAAAGGCCACAGAGAGCAATAGTGTCACTGCAAGTGGAGCTAAAAGCGAGATCCCAGTGCACTCTCACACCTGAGCTGGCCTGAACAGCTGATCTGTTTTATGTAACTACAGTCGGTGCTCGATCAGTCTGCACCGCTGTCAGGTCAGCAGCCAGATGACATCACAACAGATTGTTGTGATCCTCCAAGGACGAGGACGCTCACGGGTTTAGTCGCCGAAATGTTCCTCCTGCTCAGAAGAACAATGTGATTTGCTTGAGCCGGCCTGCGACAGCGTTTATGCAGAGTTCAGAGAACGCGCCGTTTCCATTTTTGACGCTCCGTCTCGCAGCACCATCTGGAATCGGTGTCACCTTTACAAACAGGGTTTCTCCTAATCTCACGTCCAGCTGACAGCCGTCGTGCTCCCGAGAGGATCGATCTGTTTGTTTTCAAAGATCTCTTTTTTTTTTACCTTCTCTGCCTGACTCCAGCTCCACCGCAGGAAAATCTGTGGGATGCAGTGAGCAGTTCAGCCTCTGGGGAATGCTAGCGTCAGACTGAACAATATAACACCGTATTTAAAGCAACATTAGCAAGTTTTGAAACGCCGCATCCAAGGAGGTGGTCGTGGGTGTGTACGAGACAAATCGCGGCGCCGCTTCCTGCAAAAAATGGAAGCGAGAGCAGCAGAAAAATGCTCGACTTAAGTGATGTATGGCTTTAAAGTCTCCCTCCATTGTGTCTCGGCCCGGTCCAGATGGCGTGTAATCCTCTTGTGTGTTGTAGTTTGTGTTGTAGGTTATGCCTCAGCCTTTCATTCCCTCATGCATTGTGTCTACTGTACCGGCCCTGTCTCATTCCACATCGGCACTCATTGTTCCTTGAAAGTAGCTGTGACATCCATAGTACTCTTATTTGATGTCTGGCTAGGATAGCGAGCTTGATCCCATTATGTGTGAAATGCATTCAGTTCCAGGAGGGAAAACAAATTCCCTCAAAGCATCTTGCATGTTTTTTCCCCCCATGTTTTTTTTTTTTTTCCTCTTTCTTTGAAAAATGACACAAAAAGCCAGCAACAGAGCCAGACAGTTTAGCTGTGAAAGAGAGACTTAGCGATTTGCCGCTAACTGAATCTCTCTTTTTTTTTTGTCTTTCTTGCCCGTAGTGGTAAGACAGTGAAGGATGATAACACTAAAGGCGAGACGGAGGTGAAGAACGCCACAGCCGAGGTGAAGACGGTCCCCAACGAGGCTCCTCAGACGAACGGCAACGAGAGTAAAGCGTAAAAGCTGAAGAAGAGGAAGAAGAAGAAGAAGAAGAAGAGGGGCAAGTTAGGGTTTGGGAGGGTCCTGGGGTGAGAGGGGTTGGGTTTAAGGTTAACAAGAGGGGGGTGGTCACAGTCACTGAAACCTCAGAGCAATTCCACACACCACCCCATTGGGAAAAAATAAAAAAAAATAAAAAAAAAAACCGAAAAAAAAAAAAATAATAAATCAAATCATGGGTCTCTTTCTTCAGTGTCTTCAGTGTAAAGACCTCATGCACTTGCCTTAGTTCCTTTTACATTCGTCACCGATTAAAACAACAACAACAACAAAAAAAAGCAAAATTCATACACGTGCTTCACCCTCTCTCTTGTGCGTAATATTAAATCGACGAGCAGTTAAACACGGAACAGAATCTATGTTGTTTTCCTCTAGATAGCCATGGTTGGACTGTAGCTTTACTTCACAGATTACTGCCTTCATGATGTACACACACGTGTCAGACATGTACATTACCAATACTACTATCCTTTATGCAGTACGGTCATCGTCGTGGTAATGGATTATGGGTCTACTTTTTGTTGATATTTCTTTTGTTGAAATAATTTGCAGACGTCACTGCCTATTTAGCTTTTCTTTTTTTTTTTTTATGTGTTATTTCCAGTGCTAGAGATTAGAACATTAGCATGCCTGTGTTTTTTGGATTTTTTTTTTTTTTTGCAAAGTTACTGTATTTCTGTACATGTTGCTCTCGTTTGGATTCCATCCAAATGTTTGTTTGTTTGTTTTCCTAAAATGTTGTCTCCACGTGGTTCTGGTCCAGAAATCATTTAGCCGAAGCTCTGAGAAGGATGTTAAAGAGTTTCGGGGTCTGTCTTCCTGAAAGTTAAGTTCGTATACGTTTGGTTGGATGCATTTTTTTTCCAGTAACGATTTGTGAAGGTGGTCCAGATGGATGTCTAGTAGCATCCCGGCTGAGGTTACAAATCAAATACAGAAGCAAATGTACCCTCCTGCCCAATCTGGATGGCATTAGGTTTGGGTTTCTGTTGCATACGAGCCGTATACAAACTTAACTTTGAGGAGACAGAAATCGGTTGGATTTAGAGAAGACTGAAATATAACAAGTCTGAATCCATCCCAACGGGTCAAAAAGACGTGTCCCATTCCAAAGGAGAAACACTGCCTTATTTTGTCGGAATTTGTAAAAAACGAAAGGAAAAAAAAAAAAAGAAGAAACTCCTGTTCTTTCTGTCTTAAGTATCCTTCAACAAAATGCGGATTTCAGTCTTCATCAAACACAGGAGGTCATCCATAAACTGGACCAATGGAAAAACATTTTTTTAAAAAAAGGATGCTACAGGATGTAAATAATGGAAAGCTAACTTAAAGTCCACCGTTTCTGCTTGGTAGTAAATTAAGTTATAGATTCGCCGGTAACACTGAACACTGTTTTGCCAGCGCGCCATCCTGTCTGCAAATGTAGTTTTTATGTTTTTCTAGTTTGACGAGGACCACGTGTTAGTTTTTAGTCCGTGTGAAGCTCAGGACGGGACCAATCGCGTTCAAGGTGAATCCTCTGTGGATCACGACTCCCTGGTAGCCTCCGGTGCCATCGTTAGCTCAGCGTCCGTAGTGGTTTACGGATTAAATGTTGATATTGTCGAAAATGACTTCTTCTTTTTTGTTTGTTTGAGAACACTCCTTCTCTCCCACACCAACACCTTTTCCAGAGGTTTCCTTTGGTGCTGACAGGTTTGAGGCAGCATGTTGCTCCGTCTGAGCAAAATCAATCAGCGTTTTCTTGGACTGAGAAGAATTCAGGAAAAAGAAAAAAAAAAGCCTTCAGCCTCGTCCAAACCGGCTGAATATTTGGCACACCAGCTTCCGCTGCCCGCAGTTGGACTCGAATATCAAATTCTTTCGCTCTTATCTGATTTCTTCTCATGAGCGTCGTTTAACTTGTTGCCCTAACCTCTGGCGTTCCCCCGATTGTAACCGAGATGGCTCAGTTTGCTGTTTCCCCTTCCAACCATCCGCCATAGCGGCCTCGCCTGCACCACGTCTGTTGTCAGTGTGAGTTTTTGTCACCGCTGCTCCCAGCGTGTCGCGGTTAATTATTTAAGTAGTTTGTGCCTGCAGTGACGTGACTTGTGTTGTAGATTTAGCGAAGCGTCTTCTGGTCTCACGCCGTCGTGTACAGTTGCTGGAACGTTTCTTTTAAACTGACTCTTTATTAAAACACCGGTCCAGAAATCTGTGAAATTTGTTGAGTTGAATAATTAAAGAAAACACACTTAAGTCATGTGGTGTTTAGCATCTGATCAGAATTTGGATGAATTTGACTCCGGGATTGATTTGGGCGGTTTTCTCATCGGTCAGTTTTCTAATCAGGAATCCAGTTGATTTGAGGTCTGCTGAGCGTGTTCAGGCAGCTCCCACCAGAGCAGACAGCTGGAATCGTTTCACTCACTGACAACAGTAAGAAACCACATCTTTGGTCTAAATCTGGATTTATTGCTAATTTTTGATTTTAAAAAACAACATCCAGACAATCCAGGAGATTGTTAATGTTTAGTGGAACCTGATTCTTGTGTCTGCTACTCTAAAGTCGTGTCGAGACAAACGCTGAACCAAACCACAGCCCAGACTGGACTCTTTCCAGAACCGACCTTCTTCCATAGCGTCCACCAGCATGTCCTGCATCGCTTTCACCAGCTTCAGACTGTCGACCGGTCAGCTCCACTAACCCGCTCTGAGTTTATTACACAGTTTTATACTCTCAATTTATGATGCACATTATTCATAAGGATTATTTTTTGTTCCAATGCCAGCTGGTGATGGTTATTTAGCGTTCCACATGTGTAACGGAAAAAAAAAAATACAGTGAAACCAATGTGTAAAACTGTCAAAATTTAATCTGTTTAAACTAAAAAGCTCAAACTGTCACAGGTCCTGAGGATTCCTTTGGAAAAATGTGTTATTGTTAAAGTTTGGCTCAAATGGATCAGTGTCTGTAAATGAATGTACACTCCGTTATAAGCATCGCCTGATTCTTTCTTTTTTTTCCCCCCCTCCATTAAATCTGAGTTAATAAATTTGGCCTCTTTTAACCAGGAAGTAAATCATCTATGAGGTCTAAAGGTAAAAAAAAAAAAAAAGCTTTTCTCAAGCCTGCTTTAGATTTTGAAGCATCCAGTCCGTCTGACCGTTTTTTTTGTACAGCGTTCCTCCTACTCTAGACTGCAAGCTAGTACACTGTGAATGTGCGAGTCCATTGTGTCCTTTTTTTTTTTTTTTTTTGTCATAGAGTCGAGCAGATAGTTTGATTGTGAAGAGACGTAGCCGATAGTATGTGACAGGATCTCCGACGTTCAGACGTCTGACGGCAGCAAACTGGAAAGACACAGTGCCTTTTGAGTGAGAAAATGGTGGCGTGCATCCTCTCAGTGTCTGCATTAAAAGTTTCACACCTCCATCGTCAATTTTTTTGCTTTTTTTTTTCCATTCGCCGCTTTTGGTTGTAAAAAAAAAAAAAAAAGCTTGTTTGAACTGTCTCATACTCTGAATGGTTGTGTCAGTGTGTTCCTGTACATACACATAGTTATTGGGTTCCTTACACTGTCCTCGTTAAAGGATAAATCTGGTTTATTGCAATTTGGATCTTATATTTGTAGGTTTGTCCATCTTTTCTATCATCATGATAAACATTCTACACAGCAGATCTGTTTCTGGAATTGGAATTGCATAAATAAACGTATGTGCGAATACAAACGATGGTGAAAACTGCAAAAATAACACCCAAGTTGTAAAAAAAAAAACTCCCATCACATGCCATCAATGACTCTTTGCTCAGGTCCCATATTCTCTAAAAAACATCTGAAGTAGTTAGATTTGTCTGAGGCAAGTATGTGGAACAAAATATTAGATATTATCATCACACTTCTTTTTTTTTTTTTTTCTTGTGGAGAAATTAATGAAGGCTTCATGAACTGTGTTGGTCTTTTTTCCAGTGTTGTGTAACTTGTCCTGTTTCCTAAATTCTGCTTCAAACGAATCCTGTTTTTCTCACGGAGCTCTGAAATGTAATAAAGAAAAGAAAAAAAACAACGGAGGGAGATGTATCGTAAGCAAATCTTTCTGTTTCTGCTGAAATATTAGTGTGAAAATATACAGAAAACAACATTTTTTTTCTTTGTTTGTCCTAAAAACAAGCTTGGAAACACTCTGGGATTGCAAATGCGGGACCCATTGTTGTGCAAGTGTACGTGAAAGCTTCTTTTTTTTTTTTCGTTTTCTTTACTACCCATGTCACGCCTCCTGAAATTCATTTCTGAAGGACATCGGGTGAGCCACACTTCTTTGTTCAGATACCTCAAAAATGCAAGAATGACACAGGAGAAGCCTTGCATTTTTCTCTTTGAATCCGCCACTTGATTCAGTCAGAATAAAGACGTCTGCTCGAGGAGGAGGTTTTTTTTTTTTCAGGGTTTCGGGAAAAAAGAAAAAAAAAAAAAACAAGATGAAAACATCCCTCCAAGGTTCTCTGTCTCGCAGTAAGAATCACCAAATGTATAACACCCAACTTCTTCATATTCAGTCAGACGGGAGCCTTGAGCCTCATTGATCCAGAGCTCCTCGTGTCTTCAGCTCCTTCCTCCGTCAGCAGCAGCTCCCGGGTCAGAACCCGTCTGTCCGCCGTCCCCCACCCCCACCCCGGTGTAAATACTGAATACTAACTGAGGAAAGAAGGAAAACACAGTTTGACTTTGCATTCTGCCAGAAAAATTTTTGTGTTCAATAAAATTAAAGAAAAAATAAACACTGTAAAGCTCCTTTTTTCCTCTAATAACTAGAATTATTTGGTCATATCTGGAATGTCGTACTCCAAAAAACATCAGATTTTAAAAGCAGAATCTGTGCAAAAGTGAGGCCTTGTTCAGCATCATTCTCAGTAATCGTATATATATTATACGCTGAAGTGTGTGAAGTCGGTGTGTTAAACTCACAATGTTTGCGAACGCGTCTATAAATGGATCAGAATGCTCACATCTGCAAAGATCTTCTGTTGGCTTTGAAGAAGTTGATTCAGATCGTCTGCTCGCGTCAGTGGTGAAGAAAATCATTTATGAAACTCAAAAAAAACCCAGCATTTCTACTGGAGAGCCACATTCACAGCCATCATCTGCACAGAAATCTGAAGAATCTGAAATCTGAGACTTAGATGATGCATCGTGTCGTTAAAGCTGAAAGTCATACAAATACAGTAAACACTAAAACATGCAGGCTGGTTCTGGATGGTGCAGTTCTGTGTACCGACCACTAGAGAGCAGCATGTTCCTAATTTTGACACGAGCTGAACCTGACGGGAGCTTTAACTCCGTATCGCAGGACTTGTGTGTTTTTATGTGCAAGATGGCTGAAATTAAAACGTGTCCATCACTCACTGAACTAACTTAATGTCGTTATAATTTAAATGACATTATCTAGTTCAGAGGAGGATGTCGGAGAACGTAATAACAGCACCACAGTTTAAGAATCAACAGCAGCCCCCTTTTCCCTGAATGTTTGAGCGTCCAATCAGACCGTCTACAAAGACAAAAGTCCTGATTGGCTTTAATGTGATTCTGAGTTTTCCAATAGGTGGCAGGCTAACTCCAGAAACATGCAGGCGTTAAAAAGCAGCCACATGTTGATTAAAATGTCACCTAATTATGAATATCGGACACGTGGCTGCAGGTTAATTTAAAAAGTCGGTTCATAAATACTCTCTGAATATCACAGATGTCAGAATTCAGACTTTTTTTCTTTATGTCAAACTTTATCAGCGAGTTCTCACAGCTACAGAAAAACTGAATTATCTAAAATGCCGGAGGGTTCCATAAAACCTTAAAATGCAGGAGGCGTTTGAAGGGCAGCGGATCTGTGACCGAACGAAAGTAGTGGAAGAGGGTTTAATGTGTTGTAAGGGCAGCAGCTACAACAAGTTATGAGACTAGACCGGTCGATTTGAGTTGCTTTACAGTTGACAGAACCTACAAGCAGGTTTGAAAGGCATGTTTTCCTTTTTAAAATGCCAAAATGAGGCCGTTCACTGGAGCCAGAAAATGTAAAAACGGCTCCTCCAACTTTCCAAAGTTTGTTGAACAAATCATCAAGTGTTGAAAATTGTGCTTCAAAAAAAAAAAATCATCGTTTAAGTTTGGATTATTTAATCCATTACTTAAAAATTCACCAATAAATATTTGATCCTCAGGACTAACTTAAAGCTTTTAGAAACTCTGCTGCAGCCAAAAGTGAAACGACGAAGCTTCAGGGACTTTTTGATTGAATTAGGTTGAACTGCAAAACACAAAGAAGGCTCCTGGAAACAAAGGAAAAAACCCAACGAGGTAAGAATCTACAACGATTTTACTGGATTTATTTGTTTCTGTTGTTTTTTTGTAAAAGAACTAACCAAGAAATGCAACTGCTTTTATTTCTTTTTTTTTTGTTTGTGTGCAAATAATGGCAATATAACTGTGTCATATCGCACAGAAGGATGTTTTATTTTATTTTATTTATTTTTATTTTTCTAGCCGTGGCTGCACTGTTTCCATAGAGGGGCAGGACTTTTTATTGTAGTGGAAAATGAGCCTACAGTGGAAAAAAAAGTGAAACTGTTTGGCTTTCAGAGGGTTAATTAGAGTCAAATTAGAGTGAAACTAATGAGATTTAAAGAAATACAGAGTTAACTTTATGAGACTTGTGAAAAAAAAGAAAAGATTTGATTGTTTTGAGTCACCGTTGTTGTAATTATTTCTTTAAGGGACTGAGTTAGAGATGGATTGTTTATTTCTTCCTCCACCACGTTTATCTGACTGAATTATCGTCTACAGCATCTAAAAAACATGACGCTCATAAAAGATGTCTCGTATTTATCAGTTCACATATTAATTCAGCTCTAATTATTGTTTTTAAAGCTGCTGTTTCACCAGAATGCTGATGAACTATCTGCAGCTTTATGAATTTGGGCCCCAGACCTGGACCACATCCATGTCCACCAGCGCTCTGATCAGGAATCTCCTCAAACTTTCATGTGGCTCGTCTCCCCTTCTTCTGCGTACGTCGTTTCACTGCTGCAACACTCTCACCCCCTCACCTCTGCCCTCACCAGATTAGGGCCCTTTTCACTGAGCTGCCCTCCCCCCCTAAACCACAACAATGGTCCAGTGTGGCTCTCTCCGGCCTGGGATTGATCCTGCACAGATAGCTGAAGGCAGGCAGCCCAGCTTCATGGCTCCTACCTGCCTGAACACACACTTCCTGTCACACACACACACACTCATGCACGAGCCTCGTGTTGAGCTGTTTGCTACACACCGACCTATCTCTTGTTTAGAGGGGACATTCGTCAACGTGTGGTAATGAGTTAATTAGTAAAGTGGCTGTGCCATTAATGTAGTTTTTTGTCTGCCTTTTGTCATTGTCAAAGTTTCCATGTGCGGCGTGTTTTAAGCATTAATTCACTGTCAGGCCGAGGCGACGGAACACACTCTGGAGATGACTGCAGATTGTAAAAGGTCCGGATGCATAAATAAGCCGCACATTTCTCGTGTGTGGCCAAAAACGGAAAAAGGAAGAAAAAAAAAAGGAGCTGAGGTGGGAGGAGCGAAGGGAAAGCCAATAAATCTGAGAGTGATAGACGAAGATAACTGTCAGTCAGGCAGGAACATCTCATCTGATCCCATCCCTGAATTATGGAGGTTTTAACTTTATTTCTTGTGTTTTTCACTTTGTGCATTGTTTCCAAGGTAATGATGATGATGTTAGCAGTTATGCATCCTAAAATATCTCACCTTTAAACGTTCAAATCATATAACTTTGCTCAGAAATAACCTCCACAGTGAGTAGCACAGACTTCCTCAAAGAATCTATCTGAGACCTCAGGACTCAGCAGGCGGTCAGAGAGATTTTCCAACAACTAGCAAACTCACAGCATCCGTAGCTCAAGTTGCTGTTTTTATATTAGAGTTTATCGTTAAAATAAACCTCTAAATACAGCTGATTTTCTTGCATGTGGCTGATTTTGATCAACGCAGGTGCAAATAAAATCTAAAAAGAGAGACAAAGGAACATTTCATAGTCAGATGCTCACATAGAGGAAGCTAACGTGGGACCTTTTTGCACATTTTTTACAGGAATCATTTGTAAGTTCTTCACTTTACTCTTCTAAGTGAGGTAATGTTGTACGTTGGCACTGTATGAATAAAACTGGAAGTTGAATGTAATAATGGATTCATGTTTGTTTTCTAAATCACTCTGAACGTGTCGGTCCAGCCAGCCTGTGGACCGGCAGCGCCTCCCTCATCAGCCCACACTCACAACAAGCATCACATCCCCGAATGCCGCTTTGCGTCATTATTTCTGTGCCAAACGACGGAATAATTTTTCCGCGGCAGAAGCCTGCAAACTGGTGTAAACAGTCAAATGTACTCACTTGAGCTGAAGTGATTTGATGAAACAGAAGGCCGCGCTTCCCATCAAAGTCAGCTTTGTTGGGAAGATTAGAGTGCAGTCTGAATGTACCAAACACTGAGCTGCAGTTTGTTTTGAAATATACTGAAGCAGATGTTTGCGCAGCAGATTCTCTTTCTCTTCTCTCTTTTGGGTTTTTGTTTTTTTGTCCTTCTTTCCTCAGATTGTTGAGGAATATTTGTCTTTTCATGCAGAGCCACGTTTCAGCCTCCTTATTTCCAGGCTGCTCCTGTCTTATCCCTTTCTCTTTTTTTTTTTTAACTTTTGCCTCAGCACAGACTCAGCCAAGCATGCATTCCTATCCAGAACACTCTGCTTCATCTCTGCTTCCCAACCTTTAAATCACATCAGGGTTACATCACAGCACACACACAGTCGTACGTCTTGCTACGGCCACCATGCCAAGAACTTCTTCGTTTTTTGTTTTGTTCTTACGCACTCTTTCCCTCCCTTTTCCCCATTTTTTTTTTCCCAGTCGTCTTTTTGAATTTGATTTCTTTATCTGATCCCAAACTGAAGGAGAATTTGTCTTCATTGTGCAAAAATATTTTTTTTGCACCGTTTTGGGAGCATCCACGTGTTAGAACAGAGCGAATTTTTGCTTATTTATTTATCTCAAATGCAAACAAACTATAAAAAAAAAAACAGTAGTTGCACCAAAATGTTATATCTGATGTATTATAATTTTACGTTTTGGGAAAATGTTTAAAGAATTAAAAGGCAATTAGCTCAGTGACTGTTTTTTAAAGAGCACTTTTTATTATTTTTCTTTATTTATATTTTGTAATATTTGAGACGATATGTTCTTGTTATCTGTTTATTTATGCTTCAGCACAAGCAGAAATTAGTGCTAACTAATGCAGGATTACTTTTTATGATAATATTCAACAAACTTGACAACAGTCGGTAAAAAATAAGGACTGTAATAATGATTTCAGGTCCCTTGTTGAGGTGATTCCTCAAAAACTTTAGCATTGTGTCGTCAGTTTTTACTGTTTTATTCATCCTCAAAGTGGCGCAAATTCATCTAAAGAGCTTTCTGGGTTTCTGTAAGAATCTTTATATGGGTTTTTTAAATTATTTTATTTATATGCTTTATATAAATCTGATCCATTACATGATTACACTGGTCAAACTGGCTTCAATTTAATTAATCTTAATTATTTTTTTCTTATTTTTTTTGTAACATGTGTTTTGAGACGTGCTGTAAAAACACATTTTTTTTTATTATTGTTATAATATATTTGTTAATAGATGCAAAACCTTTATTTTGATGCAACCTGCATCTATTATT